AGGCTGTGTCTCAATGAGGAGAACCCTTGAGGAGAGCATGGAACCTCCCCCATTTGCCATTCTTCATGTGTTAGCAGATTTTTGATGATTGAATCTGTAGCATTCAAGAAGGCCTCTTGGTCCATCATGCATGTGCCAAGTTCTCGGAAGGAATTATCTGATTAATCTTATTCCTCTGATTTTCCCCATACCTTTTTTATTTTTTCCTTTCCAGATATTTAGTTAATTCCAAGCAAAAAAACTGTTATAGATTCTGCTTCAATCACTGTTTTTGGTAGGGCATTCAGTGTCCTAATAGCTCTCAGTGTATAAAGGTATTCTCCTGATTTTGGAAAATATCACCAATATGCCTGATCCTGTCCTTACACAACATCCATACTTGCATTGGCTCATTGGATATCAATCAGACTCTCCCTTATATATTTTCCTCCAATTCATAGGGTCACAAACATCACTGGCTGAGATCACGTAACTCAGCCCAATCCAAGTTCAAATTCGGAAAACTCCTGGTCTTTTATATCTCAGTTCAACACTGTGCAGCATATTTAAAACTAAGCCTCTGAGGAAGTACATTAAAGAAAAATACATGTTCATAGGCTTAAATGAGTCACTCCTAGATCACATACACCATTCTTTTCCCCTGATTTGAGTGCAGTGCACATTATAGTCACAGCTGAGTTCACAGGATGGAGTGCTGAATAAAAGGTGAGCTGCTTTCCAACAGGGCAACAAACCTGCTGGTAAATGGGTCTTCATGGCTGGAGACCTTGCATAAAATGCCACATTGGCACATAAAGTCAGTGGCTACACCTAGCATTAGTTACTGTAAGTGCTTTGAGATGTTTTGAAGTGGTAAGGTGCTATAAAAATACAACTTATATGAAAGAAAACAGAATAGTGAGTCAAACTGGAGTGCTCTATTGGATCTTTTAGTGACTAATTCAAGAGTGCCTATGACAAAGGCTTGACAATAAGTTGCTTGCTTCCTCTAAAGTCAATGAAATGGTGGGCATGCACAAAACTGGAGGAATTTCTTTGCTTTTTTGTATCTACTGAACTGTTGGCATTTATCAAAAGTGCTGATGACAATCTAGTGGCAGATCTGTTCTGCAATAACCTTTATTTTATGATATGAACAAATTTATCAATTGGACAGCTTGGATTATTTTTATAATGCCCAACTGTAACATCAACTGTCCACTGGATAGCTGGACATATGGCTGCGTCTACATTGGTTTCAATGTGATTGGTGCAAACTGGTGGATAAAGCAAACTTTTCTGCAACACTCCAATAATTCACACACTTTTTTTTAAAAAAGTGACAAGTTTTTTTTTATATCCTGATAACTTCCATTACTTGCTCACTACAATTGGTATATCTAAAGTTAAAATATTAAATCTCTTAAGTGGTAATAGATAATTCACCATAACAATAATGTTTAAACTTTTTGTGTTCCAACATTCATGCCCCACATTGGGACTTTGAACTGATCTAGTCAAGATCAGTCTTGAAATGAACTATTCCAAGTGTCACTGTCAGAGATGCTGTCCTTTGGATGAGATGCTAATTGAGGTCCATGCTATTCAGGTCGATGTTAAAGATCCCATAACACTACACCAAAAGAGAAGGGAGCTTTTCCAGGTTTCCTGGCCAACAATTCCTCAAATAAAAAAAATGGTATTGTGCTGTGGATGCTTGTGGTTATTGCTGTGCGCAAATTGGCTGTCACGTGTCGCCTACAAAATACACAGTGACTACACTTGACATTGCACCTTATGAGATAGCCTCACGATTTGAAAAGTACTATATCAAATGCAAAGATTATTACTATTAAATGGTTTAGGATTCAATATTAAATAATTTTGTGATAATTTAATATTTGTTATATTTATGTTTAAGCGTATTCTGGTTCAAGATTTCATTTCAAGAAACTTTCAGTCCGCACTTAGCACATGTGCTGAGAACTATATTTGTTTCTTGAGCAGTTTTTAATATTGATCTATGTGACAAAAAAAACATTTGCACAATTGGGTAATTGTTAAATAAAGAGCAGATTTAAAATTAGTACTTTTTTTTAGAATTTTCTCCCCTCCTCCTTTTTCCTTCTAGTCAGCACACTTTCAAAAGCATCTTCCATTATCTTAGCCAAAATGGCCATTATTCATGTGTGAGCCTCAGTAGGCTATTCAACCATGGGGGACATCCTTAGCAAGCCAGATCCTGGAGTCAGCCAACATCTATATGCAGAATTCTTCCAGCAGGCTATCCGGTTAGTAATCAGAGAGCAAACTCTGACTGTTTTTCCCCTTTTTAATCCCAGTGGCACGAACCAATTGTGTGCCCTCTCCCCATCTGCTGTCCCAGCTGAAAACAGCTAACTCAACTCAACACCTTCTGGCCTGTTAGGAGAGAAGAAATCTGGTCTTTTGGGTAAGAAAACAAGAAAAGATCTGACCAACATTACAGATGTTGTCATCCAATAAGGCAGAAATACCAAAAGAAACTAAAATGTTACAGTGCACTGAATGAGCTGCAGTATAAACTAAAGTATAATTCCAACATGGTAATAAAAACATTTTTCCACGTACAGAGTTGTTGGAATATGGAATGTCCTGCTGGGATCCGTGGCAGGCTCCATAGTAGCTTTGAAAAGGGGACTGGATAAATATCTAAAAATAAGTAAACTAGAGAGGTATGGGAAAGGTAGGTAAATGGGACTGAAGGGATTGCACAGACACTTCGGGCCAAATAACCTTCTGTGCTGTAAATTTCTATGGTTGTAAAGTACCGACCAATCCACAATTATTAAGTGTGAAAAATTATATTAAGATTTTATTACGAAGGAAACTTATAACAACAACAAGATTACATTTGTATAGAGCCTTTAACGTTGGGAGGACGTCCCAAGGTGCTGAACAGGGTACAGCATTTCAGACCCGAGCTGGGGTCAGGGGGGAGAGGGGAGGGGAGGGGAAGGGGGGCTGGCCGATGGCATGGTCGAAGAGGATATAGATACTTAATTGATTGTTATTTGGAAAATAATTAGCGATGGGAGAAGTGAAGTGGAGTGTTTATGGTAGTAATTTTAAAACCCACTTAAACATTCTCTCTGTGCAAAGCCAGATTGGCCTTTTCTCACTTTGATATTTTGACTAAGACCAACTTCTTGGTTGTTTGTGGGACATTGCTGTTTGCAAATTGGCCGCTGCATTCATCTACAAAATACATGGTCATTAGAGTTTGGACACATCCTTCCGATGTGAAAGATATTATACCAGATGCAAGGATTATTATTATTAGCCTCAATTGAATTATTTGTGTTCACATAGTGTTCACATTGATTAACCTAATTCAATATGACTTGTCTAGTCACCTTTCCCCTTCTGAGCTCTGAGGCATGTCTCCGTATTCTACATGTTTGACCACCTTATCATTCACCTCGATGTTCACCTAGATTGTGGTAAAGCTCTTTTTAAAACAAAGATCTCATGAATTGCATAATCCTGTATAACTTATGTAATAAATACAATTAATGGCTAAGTATATATTATTCACGCAAGGTTGTCTTTGCTTTCTTAACACTGCACATCCAAGATAATTAGAAACATGTTTCAAATGCAGTCTCAATTATTTTTCTACATCTAAACTGTTTCAGAGGTATATGGTCTGAAATTCCACCGAGTCTTAGCCTGCAAGTCTCAGTCTTCATTTGGAACTCAATTATTTTTAAGAACTACAGAAAACCGACTTCCAAATTAAGATTGGAGTTAATAAATTTCCACATTTGTACCACAAACTTAAAATAAGGCAAAATGATCTTAACCAGCTAAGATTGGATAACAGTTGGTAGCTATGATACTGCCCATATACAGCATATGCCAATTGACCCTCTTCACAAGCCTATAGTAATTATAACAATAATGAGCAGTTGTCTTCAGCAAGCTTGCAGCTAATTCAAGTAAGAATAAGAAATATATTTGTTCCTATCATTCTTTTCATAATAATTCCATCTTGCTCAATAAACTGACAATTTGCCAGGTTAAAGAATAATATTCAGATGAGCCTATATTCAACATTTCGTGCAAACAAAGAATACATTGCTGTACTAACTATGGTTTTGTACGTTCTGGTGTGTGTCCTAAGATTGCCCTTTGCAACCCTGAACCCGAGCCCTCACACTGCTGCCTTTGCATAACTGAATATACTATTGTGGGATTAATTTCTCCATCCCATTTAGCATTTCATGTACCTCTATAAGGATCCCTCAGTCTTAATTCACATGCTTCCCCTTCAGGAAGTTTTATTCACGTTTGTTGTTTGTGTTTGGAGGGAAGATAAAATACCTAAGAATCCCTCTGTAGCACTCAAGTACATGCCCCAATGATTTGACCAAAAAATTTCACATCTCAAGGTGTTTAATAGCCTGATCCAGATTTTTCTCCCAACAAAAGATTAGGGAGATTAGGGATATTAGTTAGGTTTTCTGGTTTGAAGAGTTAAAAGAATTAAACCCACTAATAACAAAAATGATGGGTCTGTTGATTAATGCTTCCTTCCCAGGCAGTATATGAGTGAGAGGCTGAAATTATGGATTTGCAGCTTTCACTTGACTTGGCTCTGAGTTTTAACTTTCCTTGAAGGAACAAAAAACACCTAAAATTCACAGAAAATGTGCGCTAAAACTAGCCAAAATAAGCAAAGAAATCGTAAAAATTTAGGCACGAAAATCCAGAAAGTCTAACGCAATCTGGCATTTTTACATCACAATATGTTTTTTAATGGGAACACTCCAGTAGTGAACAAGACATGTGAATTAAGCGAATAAGTCTAGAACGTAAAGGGAAGTCATCTGTATTTATTTTAAATGTATACTCACGTTAACTGGCATGTACTGCATTATTGAAAACATTTTTCAAACAGTCAGCAAAAAAATGCTAAATTTTGTAAAGATACTGAAACATTATTCTACATACTGTACTGCACTTGCATTTTATGTTACCTTTGATCATGAGAGAGGTCCATAGCCCTGATGCCAGCATCACATCCAGGGTAAATATAGAGTTGCTTGAAGTCACAGGCTTGCCACACTTCTACCACACCATTATCACCCCCTGTTACTAGATTTTGTCCATCACTGCTGAGAAGCAATGCCTAGAGGAAAAGAAAGCAACATTCTTGGAACTCAAACATTTTTTTCTTGCGCAGTTAAAGAACCAATATCACAACCACAGGATTCAGCAGCATGTTTTTGAAAACAGAGAATTGTAAGGAGGCCACTGAATTTCTTTTTAAAAAAGAATTTACTTTCAACTCATTGCCATCATTGTTACCGGAGAGAAATTTCTTTGTGGTTTGGTCAAGTTGAAAAAGGACCTTAGCAGTTTGCTCAAAGCAGTGTTCTATTTATCAGTCTTTTATATTTAAGCCCTTATTGTTTGGCTATTTGATCCCATTTATGTTTTCCCCTTCCCGCTGAGACATTTAGAAGATCTCTGCCAAAGTACTGTGTAACCGGCACTAGGAGGTACACAAGAGCAGTGTGGGTTGACTAACTTTCCAAAATTTCCTCCCTGTGGGGAAGCACCTCATTTCCATTCAACACCTGTCTTTTATGGCCTGGCTAAGATCATAAAATGTCCATGTGAGGAATTCCAGACACAAAACATATCCATCGTTGATTTCTGAATAACATCCTTATGGGCCTTCTACAACTCTATTCTACGTAACCACTGGTCTACAGCTGAGGTGCAATTCTCTCTATCTAGAATTCATCTCCTCTCTTTAATGAGGTAGTCTGTCCACTTTTAACCCTCAGATTGTTGCTGATTTGTATTCATGCTCCCGACTTTGGCTTTGAAAATTGGGTCAGTAATCAACATCCTCTGATGTACAACCAGTTAGGAGACACTGACATTTTTTTTAATATATAAAAAGGGTGCTCCCAGCTTTCAAAATAGTTTGTGGGAACTGCAAGAAGGAAGAGTTAAGTGAAAATATTAAAGGGAGAAAATAGCAAATAGTGATAAAATAGAAGAGGGCCAGCAAAGGTGAAGGTTTTAAAACATCTTATTTTAAAATTTTGTTTTGGTACAAATTTTAGTGAGTGATACTAATAATAAAGCTATCCTGATGCATGAATAGCTTTATTATTATGTTTTATTATAATGTTACAATGTGGAAGCTGAAAATGTGCAGAATTAGTTGGTCCACAGAAGGCAGTAGTTTCCATAGTCCTGCCATCTGTTAATGTCGAAAATTAAAAAAAGTAACCTTTATCAACTTTATGTGATTTTATTCTGAGTGAACATTTTGGGTTCAGACAGCAAATGGCGATAATACGACCAAAGTACTTAGCTTGAAAGTGATTGCTGAGCCCAAAGAATCTCAAGTTAATGATATCGGTGTGAAAATTGCGATGTGTGAAGTATAAATTAACAGTGATATTGATATTTCATGCATACGTTGAAACAAGAAGCTTGTTAATAATTAACACATTGACTGGTCTGTGGGAGTGTTGGAGATGCACCCTCCACCTTTTCAATGTTTGCTCCAGAAGCCAGCAGCACCGTTAATTGTACTTTCGTTTCACAGAATTAGACTTAATGTTGATTATTCTTTTGGTTAGTTAACCCTTTATCCCCCTAAGGAGTAGTCCACTGCTGCAATCCAGAAGTCCACTGTGCAGCCATGTTCTGGAGAGTACCGTGAGAAAGAGCAACGGGATTTGGGTGGAGTGGGATATCCATGTTTAAACTGAAATTTACATGTCTAAATTTAACCCCACCCTCTGTTATTTTAAAGTGCTGCTGTGTATGTTGGACAGTTTCTGAGTTTCCTATGCTTGGTATCAGTGTGCTATTCAAAACTAGTATAAACCATATGGGAGCAGTGGGCAATTTTTGACTTTCACACTGAGCTGAAAGCTGAATGACAGTAAAATGTTCCTGCAGTTGTACACTGTCCAGTCAGCATGAACTTCTACAAGATATTTCATCTTAAACGAATATTTTAATTTTACTGAATTGTTTCTCAGCACTATTACTGACTCTGATTACATTTGCTCCTGTGTGCTCATCATAGTGAGGGATACCCATGCTAGGAAATAAAGTGATACTATAATGAAAGAGTTTTGCATTACATATGAACTGATCCAATCATTACGAAAGTGTTTATGCTGTCAACTGTAGAGAGGAAATGCATCTATGTCAGTCCACAAGGCATCATACATGGTGTAACCTGACACATCTTAATTTCTGGATTAGATGCTGCACTTAATGCTGGCTGTTCAACAATTCTGAAATGAGAAAACCATCATGCAGATAGGATGTCTAGTTGCAGTTCAACTGACACTAAATTCACACATAGTAGATTATATGGTCACAGTGTGTCAGCTTGCTGCAGTGGGAGCACTCTCACCTTTGAGTAAGATGATTGTGGATTCAAGCCCCATGTCGGGACTTGTCTCAACAACGTGATAAGGTGCTATATCGATGCAAGAATTATAATTATTATTATTGTAAAGTATAATGTAATCCATGTACATTACAGTGCAACAGTGAACTTGATAGATGGGTTTAAGATTATGAAAGGATTCAATAAGGTAGACATTGATAAGCTGTTTCCACTTGTTGGTGAATCCAAAATGAAGGAGGCATAAACATAAGATAACTAGAACAAGATCTAAAAGGGAGTTTAGGAGGAACTTGTTTACACATAAGTGGTGAGATGCTGGAACTCACTACTAGAAACTGCAGTTGAAGCAAAAAGATTCAATGTATTTCAGAGGAAATTTGAAACATGCATGAGGGAGGGGGAAGAGAGGGATATAGTAGAGATTATGAGGAGGGGTGGAATAAATAGAATAAAAACAGCAGTTGGGCCAAATGGCCTGTTCGTTTCCATGTTGCAACATTCTATGTAATTCTACATAAAGAATTAAAGAGACCGTTTTTATTCCTTTCAAATAAACCCCTTAAAGAAGAAAATGCAGTCAAAAAATCTATTTCAATTAAAATGATGTGGGTTTTATCATTTCCTGTGTTACTTACTCTGGTTGAGTCATTGATCTCCATCTGACCTAACAGTTTCCCATTGATGCTGAAGTTACAAAATCTTCCTCGCTCATAGTAGATGATGCAATGGCCTTCGCTAGATACAGAAATGAGGCGTGGGAAGACACAGTTTTCCGGCCCCTCCAGGGCTCTGAGAAGGTCTCCGGTAATTGTATGCACCAGGCACGGCCCTTCTGTAAAAGAACAAAATGAACATGTTCAGAGAAAACTGAAACACCTGGCTCAGGAAGCAATGAAAAGGATTTAAATCGTTCATTCCTGCAGATGAGTGACACCTTGGAATTAAATTGCGCTTCAGGGAAAATATACACTCATTAAAATAATAATATTAAATATTTCTTTGACGATGATATGCCCTCATACCTTTGGCACCACTGATGACAAGTCCCAGTTCTGCGCACACAGATACACAAACCACCTCATGGTCGTGACCAGTCAGGACAGCTCTCGGGGCTGGGTAATCACCTGTAAATGAAGAGCAGACATCATACCATTTAAAGAATAATAATAATAATAAAAATACCTTGCTTTACAATTCACTGTAAAGTGAATTGACTGTATATTTTGTGGGTGAAATATGAAATGAACATGAAATAGAGTACATCATTTCATATATACTAGACATTATACACTATTTATATTAAGCATTCATTGCCAACATTGGTCTGTGTTAAAATTTATTAATAACCATGCTAGCGGTCATTCATTTGAGCCGTCAGTTTCCACTCACCTCCCCCCAATAGAACCACAGAAATTTACAGCACAGAAGGAGGCCATTTGACCCATCCTATAAAGAGTAATCCTTTCAGTCCCACTTCCCCATACAGTGTTCTCCAGGAAAGAGAGCCATCTGAGTGAACAGTTCCTAATCCTCTGGTAATGACTCTTTGCAATTCTATGTTCAGGAATTTGCAACAGTGTACTTTCTGATTTCCTTCATGATACTGCTTGGTGATTCAGCCTTTGGTACATGGGTTTTATGTGAAGCTAAACAAGTACAACAACAACAACAAATTACATTTAGAGCGCCTTTCATGTCAGGAGGACGTCCCAAAGCGCTGAACAGTCAGGTGTCGGGGCCCGAGCATGGGGGAGGGATGGTGTAGGGGTGAGGGAAGGCAGAGAGGTGGGAGGGAGACCAAAGGCACGGTCAAAGAAAAGGGTCTTGAGACCGGCCTTGAAGGAGGCAAGGGAGGAAGCGAGGTGAAGGGACCGTGGGATGGAGTTCCAGAGTGTGGGGGCAGAGAGGCTGAAAGCCCGGCCACCAATGGTAGGGTTGGGCGGGAGACATGGAGCAGGCTGGAGCCCGATGAACGGAGGGAGCGGGCAGGTTGGTAGGGAGTCAGCAGGTCAGAGAGGTAGGAGGGGGCAAGGCCATGGATGTCTTTAAAGGTGAGGACGAGGAAGATTGAACTCAATCTTCTGGGGGATGGGGAGCCAGTGGAGTCGGGCGAAGGTGGGAGTGATGGGGTCACAGAGCCTGGTAGGTGAGATTACACGATGATCTGCAGCTTGTGAAGGGAAGAGTTGGGAAGGCCGATGAAGAGGGAGTAATCAAGCCTTGAGGTGACGAATGCGTGGGTGAGGGTTTCGGCAGCCTGAGGGGTGAAGCAGTGGCAGAGTCTGGCAATGTTGCAGAGGTGGTGGTAGGCAGCTCTGATTATGGCGCGGATGTGGGGGAGAAAGGACAGTTCAGGGTAAAAACAAGCTACCCAGCTTAGTGAGGTTGAGTGTCCAGCCGTGGAGGCTGATGCTGCCAGCCCCTGAGGTGCAGAGGCGTTGGCGTGAGCCAATCAGGAGGGCGTGAGCCAATCAGGAGGGCCTCGTTCTTGCTGAAGTTGAGTTGGAGAATGTTGGCCCTCGTCCAGGACTTGATGTCAGACAGGCAGTCGATCAGGACCCAGTAGTCCTGGAGTTCAGGGTGGAGGCATAGAGGTAGAATTGGGTGTCATCCGCGTACATGTGGAAATTTACCCCATGTCTGCGGATGATATCACCAAGGGGGAGCATGTAGAGGGTGAAGAGGAGGGGACTGAGGACAGAGCCTTGAGGAGAACTGCACAAGAGGGTGCGGGGGCTGGAGGAGAAGCTGTTTGCCATGAGGAAGTGGAGGCGGTGTGAAAGTTAGGACCTGAACCAGTCAAGGACAGAACCTTGAATGTTGAGGTGGGAGGAGAGGCAGTGGAGAAGGATTGAGTGGTCCACCATGTCAAAGGTGGCAGAGAGGTTGAGGAGGATGAGGAGGCAGAGGGAGCCCTGGTTACACATGGTCAGGATGTCGTTTGTGACCTTGACCAGAACAGTTTCAGTGCTGTGGGCAGCATGGAAACCCGATTGGAGGGGTTCATGGAGGGAGTGGGAGGAGAGGAAAAAGTGAAGCTGGGAGGCAATGGCTCTCTCAAGGACCTTGGACAGGAAAGGGAGATTTGAGATGGGCTGGTAGCTGGATAGCTGTGATGGGTCGAGGGAAGGTTTTTTCAAGGTGGGGGTGATAGTGGCTGTTTTGAGGGGGGAAGGAACAGTGCCAGATGACAGGGAGAGGTTGATGATGTCGGCACGTAGTGGGGCAAGGAGGTGGAGCTGGGATTTAAGGAGAGGGGTGAGGATGGGGTCCAGGGAGCAGGTGGTGGACTTCATGGAGGTTACCGTGTTGAAGACAGAGGAGGGGGTGACAGGTTCAAAGTTGTGGAAGGAGGGATGGGTAATTGTTGGATGGGTAATTGTATGGGGTAGGGGTAGGGAAGGAGTGGAAGTTGGAAGGGCAGTGGCAGCTGAGCGGATTCCCTCGAGGAAGTCCAGCATTTTCTCGCAGTGAGAGTCAGAGGAAAGTATTTGCGAGGCATGGCGGGGAGGCTGGATTTGAGCCAAGAGCATTCGGCAGACCGCGCTTGGCCCTTAAGAAAGTGGAGGTGGCTGGTGAACTAGGGTGAGGATTGGGAATAGGAGGCAGTTCGGGAGGTGAGGGGGGCAAGGAAGTCGAGTGTGGTGGAGAGGGTGCTGTGGAGAAGAGTGAGTGCAGCGAGTGGGTTGTTGCGAGAGGTGGGCCAGATGGGGAGGAGTTCAGAGGATTCCGGGACAGTGGGGAGATCTTCTTCCACGGGCGGTAGAAGATGTTGGTAGGTTCGGAGGCAGTGGGGAGAGGAATATGGGAGTTGAGGGAGATGAACTGGTGGTCAGAGATGGCCTTGTCAGTGATAGTGACATCTGAGACCCCGGGTGATCACCAGGTCGAGTGGGTGACTGTGGGTGTGGGTAGCAGAGCGGATGTGGAGGGAGAGGTTGAGAGAGGAGAGGAGAGAAGTCTGAAGAGGTGGAGCAGGAGGGGGTGAAGTGGAGGTTGAAGTCCCCTAGGATGATGAGGCGGTCGGAGCAGAGACAGAGGGAAGCAAAGAGGGTGGAGATGTCAGAGATAAAGGTGGGGGAGGATTTTGATAAAGTAAGAGAATTTTCAGAAAGAAGTGGGAGGGATGGCAGAGGGTAAGGTGTTCGAAAGAGGGGAACGAGCCAGTGGAGTATGGGGATAGGGCAAGTGACACCCTGGATATGAGGGCCACACCATTGCCAAGACGGTTGAGGCGTGGGGCATGGTGGTAGGTGTAGCCAGGTGGTTAAATAACAACATCAACTTGCATTTATATAGAGCCCCTCATACCGGATGGCGTCCCAGAGAGTAAACACTCCTGCTAACTGAAACCCTGGAGAGGATCACATATCTAACCTTGCCATGTAAAGAATACTGTGCTCTTGGCCAGCATACATTGTCAAACAAAGAAATCTAAAGAGTGAATCTGGTTTAAAAAGGCGCAAATATGAGTACAAATGAAGGCTTCAAGGTGCAATGTTAAATGCTTTGGAGGATATCATCTAAAATTCTTTTGCACTAATCAAGACAGAGGCATCAAGAGGACACTCTGCAGAAAGGGTTAATAACTATAATGCCAGACGTCTGAAATCAGAGTAATCATTCAAAAACAAATCGATTATTCTGTCACTGTCAAGTCATTTCTGACAGATGCAATGAGAGGTTAGAGGCTGTGACATGCATGGAGGCAAAGGAGAAAAATACTACTTGAAAATAGAGTATTTTCAATTTGAATCTCTATTCTGTGCAGTACAGTTCTATTTGTCACAAACTGTTTCAATTTGTATCTTCTGTAAATCTACTGGAATCACCAGTTTTACTTATAATTTTAACAGTTTTTTTTGCAGTTAACAGAAAAATGTGTGATTCACAATTCTAGTTTCACAATATACTTCTAATTACTGTTTGGGATCAGCCATTCACTATTTTATTGAATTCAATTGCTTTTAGCAAATAGTTAACAATTCTTTTGCAAAAATATATGTTGAAATAATAATTGAGCTGAAAGCACATATTATTACCACTGTTAGCTCATTCACTGACTGCTGAATGTACTTCCGTTTTTGATTCAGAATGTGTCAGAGAGACTTGTTATGATATGTGTTTTATGGGTTGAGTATTATATTCAGCCTTCAGCGTACAACATTCCATTGATGAATGCCAAATTAACTTGACACAGGACACAAAAGTTAAACTTGCATGAATATCATCACAACTGCTGATATATTAAGGTCAATAGGAACTAATTAGGGTCTTACTGGAGTTCAATCAGCTTGGACCATCCTGCATGTCATTGTGCACATTGACAAACTTCCTGTTGCTTGAATAGCTAGGAACACCCTTCTCATTAGGGGTTTAGTTAGAGGAGAATCAGTGAACCGAGTGACTGGTCTGCGAGTTGGCCTGGCCCGCCCCACATCCTCTGCCTAGCCCGCCCCAGTCCACTTCCCACCCCCGGCCCTCCCCACGTCCCCCGCCTGGCCCGCCCCATCATTCGTGGTTGGGCGTTCAACTTCTCTGCCTCAACCCTTTGGAACTCCATCCCACAGTCTCTTCGTCTTGCTCCCTCCCTTGTCTGCTTCAAAACACGTCTCAAGACCCACATCATCAACTGCTTACTTGGCCACCCTCCCTGCCCTCCACCACCCCGACCTCAAACCCCTGCTTGGGTCCAAATCTCTGACTGTCCAGCGCCTTGGAAAGTCCTCCCGACGTGAAAGGTGCTATACAAATGTAATTTGTTGTTGTTGTTGTTTGGTTCTTATCTGTGAAAGGAAGATTGCATCTACTAACTGAGATCTATAATTTCTCACTGAAAACAGAGTGCTTTCATCTTTTATAGTGTGCTTAATCTAAATGATTGAGCTGTAATTTTAACAAGGCTAATTATTTGATAACAGGCAAAAGAAAGATTAATATTTCTAACAATAATTATTCTCTTTTAAGATTATATTTATTATTGATGCTGGGGTATTCAAAGGAAAGTTACAGTTTTTAATAAAGGATTTTTTTAATAGTTCTTACATCTATGGAAAGCTGATCAACCACGTTAAGTACGGTAGAAACTCTAATTGCACTTTTCCAAATCTGGCATAATTGCAAATATCACAAATTAAATTTCATAACAGCTTACATTTACAGAGCACATTTTACGTAAAAATACATCTTAAGGTGCAAGTATAATTATAATATACAATTGTAGTCTAAGCAGCATTGAACAAGGAACGCTTAAACTGTATTTAAAAGGGAAGTGGAATAATTTTTAAAAAATAATGCAGGGCTAATGGATCCCCGGTTTTCCAGTTCCAGTCTCTGACATGGATTTGCCAGCTTCCTGCATATACGGGAATTAGTGGTAGAACCATTTTGGGGAATGTTCATGGTGAGAGAAAGCCTGCTAGTCCACACTGGAAGCCAGATGTGGCATTAGTGGCAACTTCACAGCCCAGAAGCAAAACTAATGAATATTTTTTCCATGCTTCTCCCCCAATTAATGCAGTGTCTATTTTATGGACCCAAAATACCACATTATGACAAGGTCATGGGGGGGGAGGTGGGGGGTGGTGGTGGTTGGGAATTAAAGGAATTAATGTCAACAAGGATTCAATGGCCTCCTTCTGTGCTGCCCTTTCTATGATTCTATGAGTACAAAATGAGAAGTGATAAATAAAATGGATTTTGTAAAGAGAACAAACATTTCTCAGAACTGCCATTATAGTCTGAAAGTTTAAAAACAAAAGCCACTAGTTATAGATCATATAAACAATATGAAAAATATCACCACATGTTAATAAAATAAAGAGCTTAACTCTGGATCATAACCTTTTTCCCAAAAGCAAAATAAACAGAAAAGTATGGATGAATGCTGCTTGGAGATGTCTAATGAGAAATGTCAGGTGAAATCCATCTAATCAATGGCTCTTCAGGCTCTTGGGAAACCATGTGAATTCAATTGATCCCTTCAAGAGAACAGCAGTCAAGAGCTGAATGCAATATATTGCAACAAAATACTCTGGAGGATTATTTGCCAAGTGCAACACACCTGCCTGACATAAAAAAATGCAATCTGTTCCTGCTCCAACATAGCATGCTGGAGTCTTGCAGCTCTCAACAATGGGCTCCAGCTCCAATTAGAGAGTGTAAATTAATTTTTATCACTTTCAAATTAGTTTTTGTTTCTCCATTTGTGAATGACTCTATATCAGATGAAAGCATCTGGCTTCCACCTTCCTCCAGATCTATCACAGCTAAGCTTCGAAAAACACAAACGTGATGCTTTCTGACAATATGCGTCTGCTTTCAAACACAAGACGTAGCAGTGAAGTGCAAATTCAGGCTCAGCCCAAACAGCAAACGGCTTGAGAACTTCAGACAGATGCGTTCTGTCACAACACCCACAGTTCCTTCTGTTGCATTCAGAGGATTTTGCCTCCCTTAATAAGTATCAGTTTACTGTTAGAGCATTAACCTTCAATCACTCACCTAATCTTACTGATGCAAGAGGAAAATAAAGCAGCTTCAAAAACGAAGTGACAGCAGGAAGGTAACATTCTCTAGTACACGACATACTGTATCAACAGCTAGATACTACTGGTTGGAAATAATAAGAAAACTGGATGCTTAAGACTTAGAGCCTCAGCCGTTGTAGTAAGGAGTTCAGATTTCCCACAATGAATAACATTTGGGATCCAAATATTAGGCTAGGAAACAAGCTATGTTACATTAGTTAAGAGGGTGGTTAAACCTTTTGGCTGCTGAGGGCTGATGCCCTATTTGAGAAATGTCCGTGGGCTGCATAAGCATATTTTTGTGTTTCCCTTCCAGAAACATAACATTTCCGGGTTATGAAGGGAGCGGGTGGCCAGATGAAATGGAGGGAAGGGGGTGGTGGGGCAGGGGGGCAGATGCAGCCCACGGGCTACCAGTTGGACCGCCCTGAGTTAGATAAACAAACAAACAAACAAACAGGTAAGGTTCTACTGTGTTACTATAAAACACTCACTCTGCTAACACATAAGCAATTCTAACACTTACAAAGACAGAACACTCAGCAGGTCAGGCAGCATCTATGGAGAAAGGAATGTGAGTCAATGTTTTGTGTCCACGACCCTTCGTCAGACCCTTTGTTTTGAAAACATTCTGACGAAGGATCGTGGACCCGAAACATTGACTCACTTTCCTTTCTCCATAGATGCTGCCTGACCTGCTGAGTGTTCCCAGCGACTTCTGTTTTTGTTTGAGATTTCCAGCATTTGCAGTATTTTGCGTTTTATAACACTTCCAAAACTGGTTACAGTTGTAATACAGCATTACTTGAGAAAATTTGTTTTGTAATAGGAAAGAAAGCCAGTTAGTATGCATTATTCTGTGATTTGAGTCAGGTAACATTTAGATGTTCACAGATTCTTTATCACCAACTATTTGACATTTTGGGAACTATTCTGCTCTTATATTCTACTAAGTATATCAATCTTGTTGCTAATAATGGGGAAATTATTGTTTAAGTTATTAACAAAAACAAGCGAAGAATCACTCTCTATACATGCTTGATCTACAAATACAGTAGATTAATTTGACCATTTAATGCTTTCACTATTTTAACAGTGAGCCGATAACTTGTTTTTAATATATCTTTATTTCCTCTCTATTTATGGTATTGGTCATTTCAATATATCTGCTTATGAGAAATATTTGATCTTAATTTCATGGAAATTAACTGTTACAGTTATTCTTCTCAAAATAGACAAGGGAAGAGCTAGTTGTATTGAGAGGTTTTGATAATGTTTTTCAAGTGATTCTATCACATATGTTTGTTTAAAAAAATGTTCGCTACAACTTGTTGGTTAAAGAAAACATTTTCAGTAATAGTAAAACCTGTTGTTTCTGATGTTAATATTAGAGATGAAATACGCTAACAATTATTTATCAACCCTCTTTGTTCCAATTACGAATTGCAACAAACTTCATTCTGTAGATTGGAAAACTATAAATCTAGAGCTACAAATCTTAATTAGTTAATGTCAATTGAAAACTCATTATAGCCATTCTAGTATCTAAAACACCCAATTATTAACCTGACATTTACATTTTTTCATGGATATATTTTGGTTAAGAAATGTTTGACAAATAAGCTGCAGCTATTCTGCTGAATGAAGCTTTTTGCAGAATGCGCGACACTAAGTGACAGTTATTGCTTCTAAAAGCTACTTACTATTGTTAGGGTTGTCTCCGATGATGTGATGTCGACCACTCCAATACCACAGCAGGAGTGTGGCATCACGGGAACCTGACACGATATAGCAATCGCCACCAATGTAGGACTCCGATCTGGCCAGGCAAGTGACCACATCCCAGTGTCCAAACACAATTTGTGTCAATTTCCCTGGACATAATAATGAAGTCAGGTTTACAATCATATACAGTCACTTAAAACAATCACCTAAGTCTAAGTGAACTGGTAAAACAAAACTGATACTTTCCAATATTGCTCAACATTTTTGATGTTATATCCTTGAAGGCTGACAAACAATGGATTTTAATGTTTTTTTTCTAGCTGTTTTAACCACTCCACTTTAATCACAATTTTAAATCTTTAATTTCTTAAACAATAAAACAGTAATTGCACAATAAATGCCCACATTTGAGGCCAGTGCCATTGCTCAGTTTACTGGTGCCCTAATTTGAAAGTAGTAGGATGGATTTAAATTCAATCTCCCACTAAGAGTTATCATCAGACATCATTCATGCGCACTTTGGAAACCAGCCCAAAATCAGCTAGGTTGGGAGCAGGTTGCTTGCTCTCAGATGGAGTTGCATGACCCAAATAAGCAGCGAGGAAAAAAATAACAGGTGAACATATTGTTAAATAAACAAAACACGCACACTCAGCAATAATTCTACAGCAATGGAATTGGTCAGATACTTCCAAAATGCTACAACAGACCACAAATTTAAATTGACATTTCAGAAGAGGAAATATCCAATATCATTGCAGAATTGATTGGGATGTTTAAAAAGGAATTTTATAGATACTTGGAAAATTAGGTTTGCTGAGATGTTCCTCAAGGCAGGATATCTTGGTGACGTTCATGGTCAAGGCTCATATATAAAGGGTGGTCACTAAAGTCACACCTTCAGGAGCAGAGAAAAGGTGTGAAAAAAGTGGAAAGTATAGTAAATATACTAACTGAACCTTAATCTGAGATTGATCCTTTATTGTCTATAAAGGAATGATCTCACATTTGGCCACTTAGTAAAATACCATCTAACGTTTTTAAAACAAGCTTAGTTGGGGATCATTTGATTTTTCTGATATTTTGATTCACGTTTTCAAACGTACTAATCATTTTTGTTTAATCTTCATTGTGAGTTAAGAAATCTCTCCTTTTTTGATTAAATAAGTAGCAAATAAAGAAAGAGCTTTAAATGCTGATGCAATACAAAATATATGTCAATCGCTCAAAATTTGCTTCCTAGATCGAATAAAAGAGTGAAAAGTATTCACAAATTTGAAAGAAAGATGATATTTGTATTGTGCTGTAAACAAATACAATATTGTTAACTAGGTTTTTAATATCAATTGAAGATATAGGATTAGAAACACATTTACTACTAGACCTTTTTGCTAAAACAGAGAAGGAACACAGAAGAGGGAGATAGAGGAGCCAAACATCAGATTTATATCTATCCTGAAATGAATATTTCTGCTTGCTTTGGATTTCAAAGTGTTTCTGCCACGTACCTGTTTCTGTTGAGTACACACGGAAACTTTTATCCCAGAAGCCACAAACAAGGATGTAACGATTGTCTGCGGTCACAACGAAGCAGTGTGCATTAATTTGGATGCTCTGATCCACGAGGTCCGTGATCTGCCTCTTGTTCACACCAGCATTATTGGCTGAGAATTGGGATCAAACAAAAACAAATTTAAGTTCATGCTGAGTTCACACAGACAAAGGTGCAATACCTTCTGGCCAGACACCTCTCAGCAAACGAATAGATTTCACCTCTATTATCTGTTTAATCTGGGCCAACGTGCTTTAAGTATGAATTTAAAAGACTGCTGCTGAGAAGGGCCTTTTATCTATGATCTGTACAAACGTTTGCTCCTCCCAGTATATCAGGTTCTTTCAGTTCTCTTAACTTCACCTCTTTGAGAGAGGTTTATTTTACCTCCTTGTAGGAGCTTTTAAAACAGAAAACTGAGAGACTCATGGCAGAAGAAAAACTATTTGACACACAAGACCAAACTTCTGAATGCCTTTCAAATGAAAATAAAGCAAATGTAGTAGCCCAAGTCTAAAAGACAGTTTGATTTAATAACCTTTCAGTAGAACAATCATTCTGGGAGCTAAAGAAAACATGTCCTTCCATTGAAAGGGGCCTTGGAGTGACAGAAGCAGATACATGAATACAAAGGTAACACCAGGAAACCATATGTCATGCACCCAACATCAGAAGTGTTATAGTATCCACTAGTTTCCAGAATATAACCTAATCATGGTTAACAAATCTCACCAAAGTGCACCTATGTGCAGCTAGTATTAGACTAAAATTCAGAGTAAAAGGAAATTATTTCAACAAAGGATTTTGCTTATTCTGTAAATTACTAGATAAGGGCTAGTGCTGAAAGACAAATTTTGTGCATTGAAGGAATTAAATACATAACAAAATTTTATAAATGTTTCCTTAACCAGATGTCCAATTTAAACACATATAACAACAACAAGATTCCATTTATAGAGCGCCTTTCATGTCGGGAGGACGTCCCAAGGCGCTGAAATTGTTTTATATAATTGTTACCCTATTTGCCTTTCCTTCCGACATATTAAAAAGGCCTCTCTTTTACCCATAAAAAACAAAGCAACTTTTGAGAACTGTTATTTCATAAGTCTTTTGACAAATGCAATAGCATTTCCATCTCAAACTAACACTGTTTTTGTCTATTTTTATCCACGACAGGTCTACCCCTCATATATTAACATATCCAGGGCTTGGTATCCATCTTGATTGGTGTGCTGGGAGGTAAGCAGTTGCTGCTTGAACTCTGCACCTCCAACTGGTGGAACCATCGTTTTCTCTCATCCTAGATTGAATTATAAATACATATGTTTTGTTGCATTTCCCACCCCCTTTGTTTTGCATCATTAATACCTCTTTAACCCATCATCCCCTGTCCTCTACCCCATTTTCTCCTTTGTCTTCCTTGCTCTGCCTCTCCCCTCTCTGTCAGTCCTTAAAAGCCTCTCCCTCCCCAGTTCTGAGAAGGGTCGTGTACCCGAAACGTTGACTCACTCTCTCTGGATGCTGCCTGACCTTCTGAGTGTTTCCAGCGATTTCTGTTTTTGTTATAAATACATATGTGTCAGTCTAACAATCTTTCAGAATATAATTATTTTGGAAAGGAACATGATGTTTCGCACTACTCAAATGGTTAAAAGGGAGCTTACATTTACAAATGATTACACTGTTGTCCTTTTCCTAGAAGAACTTGTTTGGAGACTGAGATTTTGGCAGAAATGATATTACTTATCAAGAACAAAAGTCATTTGACAGAAAGGATTATATGAGTCAATGATTGTATTCACGTTTAAGTTTAAAAGTGAAATATTAAGTCTGAAGATGGCCAGTGTCACTAATCAAAAGTACATTCCTTTCTCCCACTTCCAAACATTTAAAGCAAACTCCTCAAAGTCATTTTGCCTATTCCTAGCCAACAAGTTGTGTTGTCATGCACAGTTTATGGTATTTGTGTCACAAACGAACACTTATTAAATGGTGACTACATGCACCAGTGTGAGTTTTAACTTCTAATACCAGGAAGCATTTACACTTTTTTTTAATGACAGTACTAGATTTATTTCTAAGATCATTTTATTCCTTTCTGTAATTTTGTGATGCGGATACAGTAACCAAATCTGTTTGGAAATCAGAACTTTGCTAACTAGAATAAATCGGGGAAAATGATACCTCCAAAATAACAACCTTTCCATACCTGTGTGTTTCAAATAAGGCAATGCTTATGCACTTTTATTAGGTCCATTTATTGCCAAAAAATTTCCCCTTTAAACACATAGCTATTCTAACAGACATAGAAAATACTGAGTTTCACAACCAGCCTACAATCAGAACCTAGACAAAAAAATTAACTGCTCTGAACTCTGACATGACACTTGTAAATTTAAGCAATGCCACCTTGAAAGAGGTAATTATCACCTTTGGTTTCCTTCACTTGCGATCAATAGCACATTATCTTTGCTCTTGACCCAGTAAGATCATGAAAAGTACATTTTTGTAACATACTATTTTTGCCCCTTATACAGCACTTATTCATCAGAGAACACAATGGAATTATGCTACTGATTTGTTTATGTGGAAATTATAAAACTAACCTTTGTATCAAGAAAGGAATACGCTAACAGCTTCAATTTTATTGTTTTGTTAAAGTACTGAAACTGTGCATCTATGTCTGAATATCCTGACGCTATTTTTTNAAGCGTAGTGATAGGAGTTATCTGTAATTTCAATTTAATTATGAGGACCAGCTGGTATATCTTTGACTTGATGCCCTTAACAGACTGCAGCTAGAGAACAACAGTATAGTCCTAGTAATCTCAATCTCAAGACAGATACAATGGATTTACCGATCAATGGGTCCATTTCAATTGGCAAATGATGGGCTTGTTCCAGGGAGTATCCTGGAGCTCCCCTAAGGCCTGCAGGGGAAAAAAAAGAGAATGCCTCACAAATTACACCACTGCTTTAATGTACTTATACAATTTAACCCTTTATCGTTACCACTTACAGCACTAAAAGCACAGTCTATATTATGTTTTACTACGTTGATGAATGCACTGTGTATTTCTGTAGACAAAAACACCAACTTAATCTAGGACAGTGAATAATGATGTCATTTTTAATTTTTTTAAGTTTCAGTGCATTATGGTGAAAATAGCTTCCTATAATAATAATCCTTGCATTTGAGATGTCTCAAAGCGCTTCACAGAATATATTGTAAAATAAATTAACTGTATATTTTGTTGGCGAAACACGGCAGCCAATTGCGCACAGCAGTGTCCCACAAACAGTCACAAATTGATTGACCAAATTATTATATTGTTTAAGGGATTATTACCCCCAGAAAAGCTATCCACCAATCAACTAACAACCGAGTTCTTACTTACTGTTCAGTAAACAGAGGCGTGTGGAGTAAGGAAGCTTGCCCAACGTTTACCTGTTTCATCTTTACCAATTGTTACCAATAAAATAAGCACGCTCCCATTTCCATCTTGGGAAAACAATCTTCTATACTAATAAAGATGAAATGTCTGTCTGTCCGCCAATAACGCAATAACCGATTGACGTAGAGACATGGTTTAAACCTCATTGGAATGGTTCTTGCATGGGGCAGTGTCATGAGCATATTTTTGGGGGGAGTGATCTATGGTTGATGAGCTGTGACTTAAAGAATCTCATCAGACATGTGTGGCAGTTTTACTTAAGGTGTACACACAATGTTTATGGCATGTTAAATGGCTTGTGAGGGGTATCACTGAAATCTACATTCTATTTTTGATCATTTGGTTGCAAATGTAGCTGCAACGGGTACAGCTAGCTTATTTATAAACCAGAAAAAAATCTGTTTGTTTTATAAGTTTAATATCCCTGCAAATAATGTTGTAGCTACCCGCCACATATATCGCACTTATCCATATCTCCTTGGAAGCATTGTGATGCATCATGATGGGGAAGGATAGTTCAGAAAAAAATGAAATGAAAACTTGCTGTAATGCAAACATATTCAGTAGTATTTAGCCCCATTTATGTATTATTACATTTACAAAAGAATAATTTTCCATATTTCATTTTTGAACAATTAATCAAAATTTTACTAGTTAGCAGTTGAATATTATAATTTTTGATTTCACAGCCTTTAGAATCTTTTGAGATATCTGATGTTTGATGTAATAGGAAATAGCATTTAAATAGCACCTTTCATATAGGAAATTGCCTCAAATGCTTCACAGAGATGGTGTGGGAGGGGGATGGAAGAAGGGAGGCAGAAGGTGAACAAATTGCAGTCAATTAGATAGTTATTTAAGAAGAATTTTAAAAGCAGAAAGGGAGAATGTGGAATGTAGGGATTGCGGAGAGATTTTCAGAAAGTAGGAGCAAAGTGAGTTGAAAGTTCACCTGCTAAAGTTGGGTGAAGAGGTTGGGGGATATGAATCAGGACTGAATGGAAGTAGATGGGGGAGTAGGAGTGTGGGATGGAACAAGGATATGGAAGCATTTGAAAGTTAGCACGAAAGTTGATATCAGTTCACTGAAGAATAAGATGCTGATGGAACCTGGTGAGGAGGGGCAAGATGGGCTTGCAGAACCTGGTGCAGGAAAAAATAGACACTGTTACATTCTGGGTAATCTGGAGTATGTGTAGGGTTGAGCTTGGTAGCTGATGAGGAAGGCAATGGCTGAGAAGAAATCAAGTTTGGAGGTGTAGATGAGGGTTTGGGCTGCATTTAGATACGGTGGGAATCAAGATGAGCAATATTGGAAAGCTGGAGGAAATTGGACTTGCTCAAAGGCTGGACGAAAAGTTTGAAGAAACTTGAGGGTGTAACAAATTGCTTGCCTTTGGTTTTGTCGACATTTAATTGAAGGAAGTATTTCAGTTGAATAACCTTTATTTCCTTTGGATTCCTTATTAGCAGAAGTTATGCACAAATGCTATTCTATGAATGGATTGACAGCTTTGCAGAGAGGGGTAATTTTACAAATAATACAATACCAAATAATAATTGCACAATGATTAAATGTAGAAAAGATAGGTTGGCGTATTGGCTATTATTCCTGAGACACTATACATTTTAGAACATGCTAAGGCAATGTTTGGATCTGTATTCTATCAAAACAAAATCAAAACAACTCCTTCGGGAATAAATAGTAGTCAAGAGAGAACCTTTCTTTGCTGGTATGAAAATCATAACAAAATAGTGGAATTTTACTTTAATTCTCTATGCAATTTGGCACATAAATTGCACCTTAATGCATTTTTTTATGATTAACAAAGCAAGAATGAGAGTAGGGAATCTTCCCACTGTGCTCCTGTTAATCCAGCTCACCAAAGCCCTAATGTTAGCTAGTCCTAGCTGGAAAAGTGTTGGGAAGCTTGCCAGATAGTCAGATGGCAAGCTATGCAGTCTTAGCTGATTAAATCTCAGCAGCACACCAAAGCACACTTTGGGGTCCCTAAGTTTTTAAGATTGCAATTTACGCCCAACACTCCCTGCAATTAAGTTAGAAGGGTATGTCTCTCCAGGGAGAGTGTGTGCATTTCATGCCACACATGGAAATTTCCACCTGTAGGTAGCATGCATATGCAGAACCTTCAGTCTGGTTTGGATACAGTTAAGCATGTTAATGGGATATGGCATGTGTCAGACACCCGGCTGATGAAACAAAAATTGCAAATTTAGATGGCAGCGCGACCAATATTTTGAAGGATAGGTAGGTCAAGTATGAAAGCAACTTTCAGATTAGTGCAATTCTATCATCAGGCCTTATAATAAATAATTTTACAGTATTCAATTATCACAAAATGTCTTGACACAAAAAATGTAACTTTAAAATTTAAGTCAAAGGGCACTAATCTCAGCAACAACAATTTACATTTATATAGCTTTGAGAGAATATCTCAAAGTGCTTTACACAGATGCCTGGGAGCCTGGGTTGGGGTGGAGGAAGCTCAGGGGGAAGGAAGAGGGAAAGGTGAATGAAAGCCTGGGCGAAAAGAAAGGTCTTAAATCAGCAAAGAGCAAAGTCTGTGACACAAACCATTGGCACATCACTCTAGTGCACCGCTGATCATGGTGTATTTTTGAAAACTCATTACATTGAATGTAATGAAAGCGAAATAGATTCAAAGAAGACATTTTCACTTACCCACAGTGTTATGCCACCTATTCACTGCAAACAACCTGCTGCAGGTCACGGTGACCACAGCAGGGGTGCTTAGATGAGGCAGCGTGTTGGCTGCCACATGGGTGACTGGGGAGTTTGATGGAAATTTTAGCACCATGATAACATCTTGCTGCATCTGATCCTTAAACATGAGTGGGCTCTGTGGAAGGAAACACTGTTGAGTAGAAATGAGGAGGAGAAAACAGAAGAGGGCAAAAGGGAAAACACAATTAATGTGGAGGTACTGGAAAAGCAGGGATAAAACAGTAGGTAAAGTATGTACATGCATCAGGAAAATATGCTGCTACTTTGGTAAAACAAACAGCACCCACATCTAGGAAATCTAGAATTGGACCAGTATAATAGGGTAGGTATAATGGGGTCCAAGTGGAGCTGGTATCATCAAGGATTATCAGGTATTACAGAAAGGGATTCATATAAAACAAACACAGCATAAAAACATCTCTGTTAACATTATCAATTGCCAACAAAACACTGTACTCATAAAACACTGTTCGTTCAATGTGATTAAAAGAGTTTTAAGTAATAAACAACAATAAAACTTGCATTTATATATTTATATACGTCTTGGAGCGCTTAACAGTGGTGGAGCCTGACGCTAGGAGGAGGATATAATAATAATAATCCTTGAATTTGATTTAGCACCTTATCACGTCTTCAAGATGTCTGAAAGCGCTTCATGGAATATATTGTAAAGTGAATTGACTGTATATTTTGTCGGTGAAATGCGGAAGCAAATTGCGCACAGCAGATATCAATGTAATAGTAAACATAGTACACATAGTAAACTTTGTGAAATAGTGTGAATTTCTAAAATCATTTGATAAACAATAAAATACAATGTAGTACATGATTTTCAGGTACTTTGTGCAATTTTGCATTTGGTACAATTTGTTCAAATATTAAATGCAACTTGTGCTTGCAATGGACAACCGATTCAAACAGTAAACACAATACTACTGAATCCTAGCTTTGAATCTGAATATAAATTTACAAATCCTTTTAGTAATTTGCCAGTTCTCAGAAGTACATGTGGTCTGAAACAAAGACTTCTCCAGTATCACATGGCTTTTATAGCAGCAACAACTATGGCTGACATTCCCTCTCCTACTTTGTACATCTAAAGCAGTCAGTCATCCATAAACAAACTATGCCTCTGCTTCTCTGCTGCCTCTAATATTGACTGCTCTTAAACCAGATATATTTTATCTAAAATGAGGACAGTTTGAATCTTGGGTTATTCAACTGCAAAACTGAAAATATAAGTAGTTGTATTTTTTCTGTTAATTGATCTTTAATGGGATTTGGATCATGGTCACAAGGAATGAAAAATGACGGTTTAAACTGCGATTGGGGCCTCCTCTGTTTCCCTTGGGTGAAGAAGGAGGAGGGAACCAAAGTGATTCGAAAGGCAATTCTTCAAACCTGACATTTAATCTATATACATATAGATTACTTTTGTGACCAATTGTTCCTGAAACTGAGCAGTGGAATTTAAGTATTGTGTATTGGCACACGTTATCTGTGCAGTATATACAAAAATACCTGAAATTATTGAAGTACAATATACAACTCAGCCCTGATTGATATTTGCTCTCAGGTCTTGTCTTGTCCAGAGATGTCTGCTAGTCTCCATACAGGACTGGTGTATAGAAAAATTAGACATAATTCACCTTCAGAATTTCACGTACTAGAAATACCTACAGCATAATCACAATGGGCCAGCTAAAGACTCAAAACACCTATCTAGTAACTAAATTAAACAGTTCATTACACTCTCACTTGTGCATGTGTTTCAGCATGTTTAAATTTAATTTATGTACTACATAATAGATAGCCTGGACAGTTCTTAATAGAACAAAAACCCTTCATATCAAGTCATTGTAGCTTTGAAGCTAGATTACTTTGATAATTTGTAGCAACAATCATTTCATCCTGAATAACTGCTCCTTGATTCTTCATTGTAATTCTGCATTTCATTCTAAACCTGTTTAGGTAAAGTGGATTCCACCAAACACTATTTCTCACCAGGTGCATGGCAGAGCTTCGAGGCGGATGTGGCTCAATAAGCAACTGGGATGGCATTTGTCCAAGATTCTGTATCTGCGCTTCCATGGCCTGGGGAAGAAAAGAATGATTGTCATGATCAATATGCATCAAAGTGATGGGTCAATGCTCTGTTTGACAATGCAAGTACATCCCAGCTCAGCCAAGATTGCTGGAAATTCATAGCAAATGTGTTCCTCTTGCAGTCTGTATATTCATCTAGATGTTAGATCTACCAGACACACTTTTCTCAAACATGCCGTGATTAATCATTGCTTTATGCTCACTTTTATAGGTTACGAGTTAATGCAAAAAATGTTTACTCATGGCAACATGCAGTAAAATAATAGACTACTGACACCAATGCTTTAAATTGAAATACCTCCACAAAATCTGCTGTAAGGAGAAAAGTATAGGGATCTCTAATGAAATAAGGCTCTGGGATCTTAAGAAAAGACAAAATGGGCAAAGGTCAGGATTTTTAAAAAATGATTTTTACATAAGGAAAATGGCAAATATTTTGTTTCTAATTAAAACAAAATCTGGGAACTTCCTGTCACACAACAGATACCTCACAGGCAACATTAATGACATTGCATGTGTTTTGTTTAACATACACCTGCATCATATTGCTTTTTGCACCAGTACAACCAGCCTATTAGCTATATAACCTACTCAACTCTGTTATTCATCTACTTGCAGCAGTTTCCTTGTTCTTGCATAAACCAAACTGCGTGATAGAAAAGGACTCTCTTCTGTAATGAATTAAACGTTACGTAAATTGCCAATTATTTGTTATTGTGGAAAATCAGAAATAGCAGGTTTCAGAATGGCGACAACTCAATCAGCAATGCACAGATGAAAAGCTACAATCTGTCAGGCAATGGGAAAATTCCTTGCAGCTATTTTTATTATCAAGACAAGAGGTAACCAAAAATTTGTTCATTTTCTATAGACGGTCTGATCAGAGCAAATGGAACTAAAAAGTATTATAACCATGGAGCCTCTGTATGCTTGCATCATTACACAAAGTAGGCAGACTAATTCTAACTTAGCACAATTTAAAAACGAGTGAAAGTTAAGGTGTGTTGACAAGAAATCTGTAATTGTGCTGATCCCATCAACTTTTATTCTGCTTTTATTTCCCGAATTGATGAAATGGTAATTAGGCCACGTAATTTAAAAGGGGAAGAGAAAAGCAGAATGTGCAAATGACTTGAAATACTTTCGAGGTGGGGACCAATGCTGCAAGTTTCTCCTTTCTTTTGAGGTCAAAAAGCTCTACACATTTCCACATGATTTAATATGCACACATTGCTAGTTCCCTAGACAACAGGTACACTGTTTTACTGTCATATAACTTCAGTATCTTTAAGGGACCGTGTAAACTACAGAAAATCTACACTAAATATATCCATAATGCAAGTACATTAGGCCTTTTTTGCTCTGATAGTATGACAATCTCTGTAAGTTAGCTTGACATCAGAATCTGTAGAATCTGACATTTGAAGTTTGCTGGGAAGCGAACAATAAATATTGCATGCTCCATACGGTGATCCACTCTGAGTGAAACAGGGTTTTGTTTTTAGCCTCAATCTACAATGGTTCACAATCTGGAAAGTGAAATATTGTTCTTCGGATCTGCCTAACCCTGTGGCTTGGTTGTAAATAATGAACATACATAGATATTTGTACAGCCCAACTCTTTTTATTAACCCTTGCTAGTCATGAGTAGGCCAATACAGTAACAAGATTAACGGGTTCAGAGTATATTAAACTAAAAAGTGTGAATAATTTCCACATACTTATTACAATTCGAGAACTTCTTACAGTCTTCAATCCATTTCAATTTGTTATAGTATATAAAAAATGTATATATGGTACTGCAGATTATTCAGAACTCTGCAGCTCGTTTCCTCTCCCGCCCCAAGTTCCATGAACCAATCACTGATATCCTCACCCATCTCCACCGGTTCCCCATCCCTCAGAGGATCGAGTTTAAAATCCTCGACCTCACTGTTAAAGCCCTCTTCCCAGTTTTGCTGCCCCCTACCTCTGCGACTTAGAGGTATACCAACCTGTCCATTCCCTCTGATTGGCGGGCACTGGCCTGCTCCATGTCCCTGCCCTGTCTCCCCACCATCGGTGGTCGAGCCTTCGGCTTTTCTGCCCCACCGTCAGGAACTCCACTCGGGAATCTTCCGCCTTGGTCCCTCCCTTGCCTCCTTCAAGGCCCATCTCAAGACCTTACTCTTTGACAGTGCCTTCGGCCACCCAACCCCCCCACCACCCACCCGTCTTGATTCCAACTTCCAGCTCAGATACAAACCCTTAAATGTCCAGCGCCTTGGAACGTCCTGCCGATGTGAAAGGCGCTATATAAATGCAATTTTATTGTTGCTGAAAGCAAAGTAACTTGAAAGCAAAGTGACTTTGCTTTGAGTAATAATGTGCACCAGGGAAGCTTAATATATATTTCCCACTCCATGTTACTTCAGGCCTGTTAAACTGAATTTGGTTGCTTTCAAGCACTATTGGGTAAAGAGGGGAGGGAGGAGAATGCACCCCCGGTTCATTCATATTGCAAAAGCGTAAATCAAATTACTCCTGAAAAGACCTTCTCCAAGTTGTCTCAGGAGCGGAACTCCAGTCTGATTCATCTCACGTTTTCCTAATATCTGGATTTTAGTAGCAGAAGAAATAAGAAAAATGCAATGTATTCGAGGATACATAGAAATAGTAAGTCTAAGTAAAATGCTTCATCGAGATTGACCTGCCATTCAGGGAAACCCTTAAAGAACAATAGGAGTTTAAACAGTTTGGTGTAGCAATGATCCTCATGCATTAGTTGAGCTAAGCTGTCATAATGGATTCAACTGATGGTTGTCTTTTGTTGAGAAATGTCAGTTTTTAATTTGACGAGAGGAAGAAAATTATCTGTTTTGCCAACCCTCTAATTTCTTGACAATTTAATGCCATAATGACTGTGGTTAGTACTGAAAACCATGGTTTCACCTGTCAAGGATGAATGAATCAATACCCTCGAGCTGATGATCACATTTGAAAATGTCTTCCATCTCGGGCGGTTTCATAGAATTGCTGGGGGATATAATCACTCTGTGGAACAGTTTCTTTCAACATCAAATTGACATTATCATGATAGGAAAACAACTGAAGAGCAGTGAAACATTACCAGTAGGTTGAAGTGCAACAACAGATCTGCTCACTGTTTTCAAACACAAGTAATGACTATAACTCTATCAACTCCAGTAAAACATTTTTTTTTAGAATAAGTTCCTATTTTTCATGACCACATTGCTTCAAAAGGTGATTTTCAAATTAAGTGGTTAAATCTAGGTTATTGTTAGATGATAAAAGAAAAGTGAAACTCAAATATAAATTAGTACTGACATTACAGATACATTTCTATTACTCCAAACATGTTGTTTATTTCAACACATGAAAATTTACTAAACCTTAACAGATTATTTCAGCAGAATCAGAGGAATAGAGCAATTTTGGCTGGGAAACATTTGTGACTTGACTTATAACAGCAACAAGTCACATAGAATAATAACTACTTCTGAATAATGAATACAGTGAGTTAAGAAGCATAACAGAGTTTTAGGTAGTATCGTAAAATTCAAGAAAGAAGATCAAGAACTTTATGCCTGTCATCAGACACAAAGACTAGGTTACTGATTAAGTCTACAACAAGGTACTTATTATTGTCTATCAGAATTGTACCCTAAATTATTTTCTCTACTGTTGTAGGGCTATGTTGTGGGCCCGAGGCTCTCCTGCTTGGCTCCCATTAGCGCCTCCTCATCTCAGGCGTTGACAGCATCACTACTCCTGGATGCACTCTCCTTCTCATCGTGCCAGTACAGAATCTTGGTGTCTTGTTTGACCCTCAACTGTCCTTTGAATGCCACATCCATGCCATTGCCTTCAGCCACCTTCGCAACAAAGCCCGCCTCCACCGCTATCTCTCCCCTCAGGCTGCTGAAACCCTCATTCCACTCTTTCATTATATTCAGGCTTGACTATGGTAACTCACTGTTCGCCTGACTTCTCAATTTTTCTCTCCACAAGCTGCAAAGTATTCTGCAGCTCGTGTCCTCTCCCGCACTAAGCTTTGTGAGATGATCACCCCCATCTTTGCCCAGCTTCACTAACTCCCATTCCCAGAGGATCGAGTTCAAGATCCTTGTCCTCACCTTTAAAGCCCTCCACGGTCACCAACCTATCCGCTTCCGCCCATTCTGCAGTCACTGACCTGCTCCATCTTCCTCACCCTGCCTGCTCCACTATCAACGGACAGGCCTTCAGCCTTTCTGCCCCCAGCTTCTGGAACTCCGTCCAGGAGCCCTTCCTCCCCTTGCCTCCTTCAAGCCCTGTCTCAAGACCTTTCTTTTTGACTGTGCCTTCGGTCATCTTCCCTCCTCCACCCCCCTCTGATCCCAATCGCAGTTCGGGTGCAAAACATTGACCAGCACCTTGGGCTGTCCTCCCGACCTGAAACAATTTGTTGTTGTTATGTTCCATTTGACTTTAAACTAGATAGGTGTTACACTAGCAAAAAGGGCATTATTCATTTTGAGATGAAAGATCTGAATCTACAATGGATTGTGACACAAGCCCTTAAGAATAATATTTTCTATAAGATGTAGAACCTTCAGTGTTATGAAGGTTAACATAACTTGTTTTATTTTAAAATGTAGTGAGTTTTTAAAAAATGTAGTGTGTCACAATATGTATTGCCTTGTCCAGTGTGTCATACAAAGATCACCATTACTAAAGGAGATAAAACATTTAAGAAATCTTAAGACAAATTATAAGAATAATAATAAAAAACAAAAACAGAAGGTGCTGGGAACCCTTAGCAGGTCAGGCAGCATCTGAGGTCGCTGATCCGAAACATTGACTCACTTTCCTTTCTCCATAGATGCTGCCTGACCTGCTGAGTGTTCCCAGCGACTTCTGTTTCTGTTTTCAGATTTCCAGAATCTGCAGTATTTTGTTTGTTTTGTAATAATAATAATCCTTGAATTTGATATAGCACCTTATCACGTCTTCAACATGTCTCAAAGAGTCTTCAACGTCCTAGAAAGTTTCTGAGTAACACATTTGTTATACTGCACTGCAACATAATAGTGAATCTCTCTATTTGTCATATTTCATAGGTTTAAACATCTTTACTATCCTGCTTTATTATCTTTAATCAACTGAGCATAAATGCTTGCATTTAAACCTGAAATAGTTTTTTTCCAGATTGCACTGAATTAATGTTACTGATTTGACCACTTATACTTCAGTAAACATCTGCTTCAGGGTTATACAGCACAGAAGGAGGCCATTGGGCCCATTGTGTCTCTGCCGGGTCTTTGAAACGTACTATCCAAATCAATCCAATTCCCCCACTCTCTCCCCATAGCCCTGCAA